CTAGCAGTCAACATTGCATTGATCTGGAGCCAGTTACGTTGGATATCGAGGGACATCCTGATTTGAAGTATTGCCTGACCTCTCAACTTTTATCACAGAGTTCAGTAGAGTTAGCTCTTAGGCTGTACTATTTGTACTTTTATAGTCTAGGGGGAAAAAAAGGAAAGTTGGTTGAAATATTAACAATGTAAGATCTAATGAAGAGGAGCATCTAGTTTTCTCCTAGATCTATAGAAATAGCAGTTGATAGGCAAGGATACAAGATCTGGACAATTGGAAGGTAGACAGATGGGTGTCATGTAACCACATATAAACTATTTCAACCTCAGTTTTAGTTTTGAAAGGTGATTTCATTTGGATTCTGGTAACATTCCCCCCTCTTGTATAAACAGTTCTTCATACTATTTGTCTCTATATGATCTCTTGTTACTAGGATAAGCTTTGTCCTACTAGGACTCAATTCATTGTATCAGATATCCTAGTTAGTTTTTCCTTGTTCCTAGGATAAAATGTCCCAATTGGTCTGGTCCCACAGGCAGGTCAAGTGGAAATCTATACCAGTAAAATCTTTTTCTAGCCAAATGTGAGCAACAAAGCTAAGCAGGGCCACCTTTTCAGTTTGACAAATATTAGTTTGAGCCATACTCTATGGATCTGTCTGCAAATGCTCCAGAGGATCAGATCTACAGAAAAGATCTTACAGGGGCTGGGAAGGTGGCTCAGTGGTGGAGCGCTTGCCTTGCATTCATGAGGCCTGGATTCGATTCCTCAGCACCACATAAGCAAAAAAAAGCTGGAAGTGGCGCTGTGGCTCAAGTGGTAGAGTGCTAGCCTTGAGCTAAAGAGCTGAGGGACAGCGCCCAGGTCCATAGTTCAGGCCCCACTATCGGACCCAAAGAAAAAAAGATCTTACAACAGCCAAGGCCAAAATTTTTTAATGGCAATTGACAAAACAGTCTAATTATTTCTATTATATACAACATTTTAGGATAATTAAGTTGACATCATTGTTAGAACCATAAACTCTTTCTTAGAAATAAGAACACATGGACAGGGCTGGGGTTCATCCTAGCTACTCAGGAAGCTGAGATCTGAGGATCATGGTTTGAAGCCAGACCAGGCAGGAAAGTCCATGAGACTCTTATCTCCAATTACCTTCCACCAAAAAGCTGGAAGTGGAGCTGTGGCTCAAGTGGTAGAGTTCAAGCCATAGGACCAAGACACACACACATAGGCATAAAATTTAGTGTTAGTTTTTTTTTTAATTTAATTTTATTTTATTTGTGAACATACTGTACAGAGGGGTTACAATTGCATGGGCAGGATAATGCGTACATTTCTTACCAAGCATTGCA